CTAGACTGGCCACACCCAGTTCCTTATATGGTAACTCTGTCTTCAGAATTTTAATTTTGAAACTGGGAGCTGGGAAGAAGACAGTGAGTTGTGAGTTCCCCAAAAGCTAGATTAATATCTCCGGGGCAGAGTGACCGGAAGCCCATCTGTCAAGAGTGAAGTTCGGCCCAGGAAGTTCTTGGCTTGCTTTGCCAATCGCTTTCTCCTTCCAAAGGTTGAGGAAAGCACAAGAGAATCGACTGACCTTGACTAGATCCTGATAAAGCAGGTTGAATTAAGGAAGTGAATCGTCAGAGGAATGTGCCTCGTCACGCCGGAGGGTTTGCTGATGTTAAAGGATCATAAATCTGGTGCCAAGATGTGTAAGATCACGTTAGAAATGAAAGACACGGAAGAAACAGAATTTTATGAGGTGTGGGATAAGTGGTATACGTGGTTAGAACAGAGAAACAAAAATGTATAGAAATAAATGTAAATAACTGTAAGAGACACATGACACAGTACTGTTAAAAAAATGTTTATTGTTATGTAAATTGGAAAAATGGAAAGTATTTTTTTTTTTAAAAAAGGATCATAAATCTGAACATAAATTTCTTGGCTTGGAAACAAAGGAGGTTTTCAGAAGCTCAGAGCAAGGATAAGAGAGCCAGTGGGGAAAAGGATACAGAAGAACAGAGTTGGAAGGGACCTTGGAGGTCTTCTAGTCCAACCCCTTTCTCAGGCAGGAGACCCTAGACCTGGGCTGTCCAACCTTGGAACTTTAAGACTTGTGGACTTCAATTCTGGGAATAGAAGTCCACAAGCCTTAAAGTGGTCAGGTTTAGAGATTCCTCTATTAAGTTCAAAAGAAAAGAAAATCAGTAAACAGCTGCACCCTGAAGAAGTCTAAATCTACCTGAAATTAGCAAGACCGGCTCAGCTGTTTGGGCTGAGGAGAAGCCCCAGCCCAAGAGGAAATGTGTCCCAAGAGGAAATTGTGAAAACAGGATGATGGCTGGGGCAGGACTGAAGTTTGAGAAGGAGAGAAAGAAGACCAGAAATATTTAGGTCTTGATAGAAGAGAACATTTGCAGCTCAGGATTGACCTGTGGGGTCCTTGGTGCTCTCTGAGCTTGCTGGTTTTCTTGCAGATGTTTCCTTACCCATATACAAAAATGTTAGAAGGGAGTGGAGCTTGTGGAGACGTTTCATTACCCAACTAGGGAATGTCATCAGTGCTAGAAGAGAGTGGGGAGGGGAGGGGGAGGAGGACTGTGGGGACGTTGGTGCTCTCTAAGCTTGGTGGTTTTCTTGCATAACTTTCATTACCAAACTAGTAACATGACCATGCTGATGATACCTTGTTTGGAAATGTCTGCAAGAAAACCACCAAGCTCAGAGAGAGTTGGGAGTTTAAGTCTCTTGAGAGGGCCAAATTGCTTTCTCAGGTCCAGAAAGATCATGGATGACACGGCAGGATTTTTACGGGTTATCTCCGAATCTGGGAGAAGTGTCCAAGAACTGGAGGAGCCATTGCTCCTCCTTTAAGTTGGGCGGAGGAGGAATCTCAGACCAGTTAGCCTGGCACTGATATGTGCCAAGCGTGTGCAGACGAGGTCATAAAGAGACAGATGGGAAATCAGTTTGAAAGCCCTAGAAGCACAGATTGTGAAGAATAAATCTTGGTAGATCATCTTATCTTCTTCGTCGATCTGATAACTTCCTTAATTATACTCCGGCAGCGCTATAAACAGAATAGATATTGATATCAGAAAAAGAATTCACCAAGTAATCATACTCAAAATGCGCTCAGCAGGGGTTCCTTATCCAGGGCTGCTTAGGCACAAGGGGAAGCCCTGGGATTTACAGATTAACAGATTAACTGAGTTGGAAGGGACTTTGGAGATCATCTAGTCCAACCCCCCCAGCCCAAGCAGGAGACCCTACACCATTTCTGACCGATGGCAGTCCGGTCTCTTCTTGAAAGCCTCCAGGGATGAAGCTCCCACAACTTCTGAAGGCAACTTCTGTTCCATGGGTTGATTGCTCTCACTGTCAGAAAATTCCTCCTTATTTCCAGGTTGAATCTCTCCTTGGTCAGTTTCCATCCATTGTTCCTTGTCTGGCCTTCAGGTGCTTTGGAAAATAGCTTGACCCCCTTCCTCCTCTCTGTGGCAGATCCTCAAATACTGGAAGGCTGCTATCAGTCTTTGCCTTCAGAAGTTGTGGGAGCTTCATCACTTGAGACTTTCAAGAAGAGACTGGAGAAACGGTGTAGGGTCTCCTGCTTGAGTGGGGGGTTGGACTAGATGACCTATAAGGTCCCTTCCAACTCTGTTCATCTGTTACAAACCTGTCATTAGACCCTTTCAGTGAGCGACAGAGGTGGGGAGACGGGCAGCGATCAAGCCAAGCCCGGAGAATGCAGGAGCAGGGCATCCACCCAGGGCGGCCAAAGGAGGCAAGGCGGTGCCAGTGCCATGAAGGGTCTGCTTTGTTTTATCTGCAAGGTGGCACAATTGGGTTATGTGCAGCCACAAAGCAGGCGGAGCTTAGATCGTGCGGTCGCCTTCCTGACTCAGCCGGGGAGATCTGCCGGATGAAGACTCCGTCCTCTCGAGGGAGCTTCGGTCTGCAGCCTCCGGGACCCGCCCCTTTCTGCCCCGCCCCCCCGACCGCCCCCCCCCCCCGCCCCCCGGGCCCAGCCCAGGCTGGGTGAGTTGCGTAAATGAGCTTCTGCCAGGGCAGGGCAGGGAGATCTTCAAACAAAGCGGCTGTGGGCACATTCACATCTTGCCACATTGTTGACTCCGGGGCTGCCAAGCGACCTCTCGCACACCCGCAGGAGTGGCCAAACCCATCAGCCACAGCAAGCGGAGGGGAAGCCGCAAAATCACTCGGGAGCCAGGGAGGATCAGCCCCACGTAAATTGCACCCCCCCTCCCATTGGCTTTCGATCAGCCTGGCTGGGCTGGTGCATGTCTGCTTATCTGTGGGGGCTTCCCAGAGTAACATGCAAGGGGTCTCCCCCCCCTTGCCCCTGCCCCCAGAATCAGGGAAAAGGGTACTTGGAGTTAAATCCTGCTTTCCCACCAAACAGAACACAATGTGAAAAGTATTACAAAGTAGAAAAAGTAACACCAAGTAAGGCAGTCCTTGACTTACGACTTACAATTGAGCCCCAAATTTCCATAGCTAAGTGAGACAGTTCTTAAGTGAGTTTTGCCCCATGTTAGCGACGGTTTCTTGCCACGGTTGTTAAGGTGAATCACCGCAGTTGATAAGTTAGTGAAATGGTTGTTAAGTGAATCTGGCTTCCCTGTTGACTCTGTATGTCAGGAGGTCGCAAAAGGGGATCACGTGACCCCGGAGACTCTGCGACCGTCATAAATACGAGTCAGTTGCCAAGTGTCTGAATTTTGATCACATGACTGCAGGGGATGCTACAATGGTCGTAAGTCTGAAAAACGGTCATAACTCACTTTTTTCAGTGCCTTTTTTCAGTAACTTTGAACGGTCCCTAAATGAACCTGTATAGCAAATACAAAGTCCTTGACTTATGATTGCAATTGTGACTGGAACTTCTGTTGCTAAGCAATGAGGTTGCTGAGTTCCTCCCTATTTTATAATATTTTATGATATCAGGTGGTTTTTTTTTTAATGAATCCCGCTTCCTCCACTGATTTTGCTGGGAAAGTCTCAAATGGCCATCATCACGTGACCTCTGGACGTTGCATCTGTCATAAAAACACTCAGGTGACCGCAGGGATTCTGTGACAGCCGTCAATGCAAGGGCCAGCCGCTGTTGTTAGTTGCAAAGTTGTGTCCGACCCATCGCAACTAACAATGGACCATGTTCCTCCAGGCCTTCCTGTCCTCTACCATCCTCTGGAGTCCATTGAAGCTCATGCCGACTGCTTCAGTGACTCCATCCAGCCACCTCCTTCTCTGCCGTCCCCTTCTTCTTTTGCCCTCCATTGTTCCCAGCATTTGGCTCTTCTCCAGGGAGTCCTTCCTTCTCATTAATTAGGTGGCCAAAGTATTTCAGTTTCCTCTTCAGGATCTGGCCTTCTAAAAAGCGGTCAGGGTTGATCTCCTCTAGGACTGACCGGTTGGATGGCCTTGCAGTCCAAGGGACTCGCAGGAGTCTTCTCCAGCCCCAGAGTTCAAAGGCCTCCATTCTTTGGCACCAGCCATAGGTCACTTTATTCAGTGCCATCATACCTTGGAGTGGCCGCTAAACAAGCACAATAAGTTGAGGACTACCTATACGATAAAATAATGATGCACCTTCAAAGATAAAATAATGTACAATGAAAAAGGCATGTATTTTAAAAGATGCCACGTCTGAAAGCTCAGGAGGCTGGTCAGCTGCAGTTCTGCCAATGAGTCCTGTCTTTAGACAGGCCTCTCTTGCTACCCAAGTGGGTGCCCAGCCCAGATCACCCGGCTGGGACTGCTGGTGGGCAGCCACTGGAGGAATCCACCCAGAAAGATCATGGGATCACAGTCCTAGGCTGCATTCACAGAGGGATAGAATCAAGACCACGTGAAGTGTTAGTTCCACTTTATAAGGCCTTGGTAAGTACTGTGTCCGGTTTTGGTCACCACGATGTAATGTCACAGTTGAGACTCTGGAAAGAGTGCAGAGAAGAGCCACAACGATGATTAGGGGGCTGGAGGTTAAAACGTATGAAGAAGATTGCAGGAATTGGGGATGTGGAGTTTAATGAAGAGAATGATAAGGGGAGACAGGATAGCAGTCTTCCAATATTTGAGGGGTTGCCACAGAGAGGAGGGGGTCAACCTGTTCTCCAAAGCACCAGGAGGCAGCACAAGAAGCAACGGATGGAAACCAATCAAGGAGAGAAGCAACCTGGAATTAAGGAGAAATTTTCTGACAGTAAGGACAATTAACCAGCGGAACAGCTTCCCACCAGAAGTTGAGGGTGCTTCATCACTGGAGGTTTTGAAGAAGAGACTGGACAACCACCTGTTTTTTACAGAGTGTGTAATTACAGAGTGTGCCGTTACCCTCTTTATGCCTGTAAAGGAGGCTGCCAGATCCGTGAAAGTCAGCAGCCTCTACACAAGTGAGCCAAGACAATTGTCTCCCTGGCTGTTCCCACCATCTGGATGTCCAAGATCAAGGACTGTGGCCAAGAGAAGAAGTCCTTCCTGCCCAGGACCCATCTCGGATTTTCTGCAGACCAAGAGTCATTCCATCTCTCAAGATTTCATTTCATCCAGGTCACCTTCACCAACTCACTTGTAGGTGAGAAGGAAGAGCAGCAACTCACCCAACTGGTTCTTCAAATCTTCAAGTGATCTCTCTGCAGCATTTGGGGTATATGGTAAAGGATCCAGATATCACAGAAAGCAAAAAATCTGCCCTGCATTGATTTCTGGATGCAAACCGAGAAGATGGTCCAAATCCATTTATGGTATCTGTGGTTGGATCCAGCTCAAAGCTCCTTTCCTGCACTGAGACATTCCCTTTCTGGGCTCCTCGTTGTATCTCCAGAGGCTTCTGGACAGCCCACCAGCAAAAGTGAACCCAGAATCTTTCTTCTCCTGGAGTCTGAAGCGTAGGAAGATCACCATGGTCATTCCAAGCCATCTTGAAAATCTTCTAAGCTGTGGTCTTGCTGAACCAGAGAGTATCAAGATAGGGTGCTGGCATGACATGTCCACCACCAAAGGTCTTCTTGAGCCTGTCCTGTAAATGAGAGGTCCATAGATATGTCCTCCCATGTTTTAGGTGCGCCCCAATATCTCACTGACCCTTTGAGCACCTTCTCCATTGTGTGGACACCAAGACGTGTGTCCTTTCATCCTTCTGGCCCACTTTTCCTGCTATCTCGCCAGCCTCTCTGAGATGCCCCACCCAAGAGCTCATTACAGGAAGCCACCAGCGTCCACTGCCAGCAGCCATCCATCACAACCATGGGGAACTCCTTGGAGGTGTGATGTGGCCGAAAGCGCTGCCCAGTTTTATTGCATCAGGCCCAGGGCCACCCCAGGCGCTGACCATCCTCCTACTTCTCCTCTGGAAAGCCCCGGCCGGGCTGAGCAGGGCCCATGCCAGAAGGCTGCAGGATCCACCGAGGCTGAGGAACCCAAGAGCTGATGCCCAGCAGGTGGAGTGAACTCTCCTGGCACGTCCGCATCACCTGGCCGGTTGGCTGGTCAGTTCTAGTCTGCTGTCTGAGCTGGCAGCTTCCTGGTTTGCATGAGGGGGGGTGGGGGAACCGGCCGTGACACCTGATTCCTTGTGATTGCGCAAGAGCTGAGAGCCGCTTGCTCACCCGTCTCCTCCCTCCCCTCCCCTCCCCTCCACCCTCCCTTCCCCTCTGCCAGCCACACCTGGGAGAGCTTAAAGCTTGGCCTGAGGCAGGCCGGATCCCACAGCTTCCTTCAGGCACAGCCACCATGACGTCCAGGAGAGGCAGCTGCCCCCTCCTCCTCTTCTCCCTGGTGGGGCTCCTCACGACCTGTGCTCAGGAGCCTGACACGGCTGGACAGAACACCACAGGTGGGTGGAAGGGCCGGCCCTGCCCAGCTTCCCCAGGAGAAAGAAGAAGGAAGCCTCCTTCTCCAGCCACCCCCAGAGCAGGCCGGGCACAGTCCTGTCTCCTCCGGGGATGGGGGTGGGTGGGCTTGGGGGTGGATTCCATGGGGCACCTGGGTGAACAGAGGGCCCTCCCCCACTCCAGCCCCTCTTCTGGGGGCATCTGGGTGGCAGCAGTGGGGGGGATGCCCACCAGCCCTGGCAAGGGAGCCCAGTCGTCAGGTGGCACCCACGGCTCAATCTCTGTCCCGGCCCTTTTCCAGCAGTCGCAGAGAAAGTTGGCACCTGTCCCCAGGCTGAGTTGGAGATGCCCAATGGGAACTGCACAGAGGAGTGCCAGTCTGATGCCCGCTGTGAGGGGAACCAGAAGTGCTGCCGGACAGGATGTGGGACTTCCTGCCAGATCCCAGACGGTATTCGCAGACGGGTCTTGACAGTTCCAGCCGCTCTTCAGCTGGTCAACTTGGGTTACTAAATCAGCCTCCTTCTGGCTTTGCACAAAACGCTGAATCACAAGCTGGCAATTGGCTGGAATTTGTGCGATGCGTTAAGACACACACTCGCTTGCTTGGGAGCACAGACAAACGCCACAGACATGACTGCAGGGACGTGATCTGGGGAGGAAGTGGAGCCTGGCACTGATCTGGATGCGCCAACTTAGAAAGCTCATTTAGCATTGTGGGCAGCCTCCATGGGGATGCTGTGGCTCATGGAACCACTTCTCCTCCTGCATTTCTGCCCTTAATGCCATCTCCAAGATGCTGGGTTTGCTGGCTGCTATCATGGAGTCCAGGAACTGTTGATCTCTTGAATTGGTTGGTCTCCAAGGCCTTCTGGGCAGTGCCTGCTCCCGAAGATCTTGTCCAAAAATTGGCCAGCTAGAAGGTCCATGGGGGGAGCCGTCTGCTGGGGGGAAGGGTTCCTGGTGCTTCTCCTGAGCAGCTGGTTCTCAGTGGCTCCGTTGGGCTCTCAAACAGAGAGGATCAAGAGGAACCACCTGGCTCCCTTAATGATCTTCACCCTTGAAATGGAGATTTGGGATTTGGGGGCCAGGAGGGGTCAAGCGGGACCCCTTGAAGGGATCAGGTTTGTGCTTGGTGGGTATTTGCATTTGATGTGTGGGAGGGGACATTCTCTGTGGCAGGACTCGTTGTGGGTGGCAGAAGTGGCATTCGATAAAAGTGGGGAGGAAACTACCATATTGATAAGTTCTGGGGCTTTCAATAACTAAACTCGCTTTAGTTGTTGTTGTGAGGGGCCCTTGGAGCTCTCTGAGTTGGTGGCTTCCTGGCAGACATTTCATGACCCAACTAGGGAACATCATCAGTGCCGGAAGGGAGGAGGGTTTGGGGAGAGGAGGAGAAGGAGGACTGTGGGGGTCCTTGGTGTTCTCTGAGCTTGGCTGTTTTCTTGCAGAAGTTTCATTATCCAAACTAGGTAACATCATCAGGGCTTTACTGGTTAGTTGTTGTTATTTAGTTACTTAGTTACAGATCGTCCTCAAAGCACAACGGGAATTGGGACCGGATTGTCCATCGCTAAGCAGTCCGTCGTAAAGCAAAGGCGTGCAAAGGTGCCAGTTGGGAGGGGAATTCCAGAGACACCCCCCCCCCAAGCCCCATTCAGCCCCATCGTAACTTCAAGCAATTGCTGAACGAATGATTCTAAATCAAGGACCGTGATGTAGGCATCAGTCTTACAACCATTGTTGGCTGCTTCCCAATCAACATTAAAGGCATTTAGCTCTATCCTGCATGTTTATCCTGCTTTTAGGCCACAATGAGATCTCAGTATTTCCCACCTCTTTACACAAAGGGGGCTTTGCCCTCCAACTCACCAACTGTGGCGGTGGGGAGATGGGCTTGCAGGAGCATCTCCCAGGCAGCTTCAGTAAAGGGGCACGTGGGTGAGGCCAGAGGGCCCTGCCACCCTCGTGTCAATCCCAGGTGGAGGAGCCAGCGTCAGGGAAGAGCGGACAGGCTCCTGCTGGAAATGGCCAGGTTCTGCTGACCACTGGACCCTTCCTCGGGGACAGTGGTTGCGAAAGCTTTTTTTTTTAATTTAATTTGATTTATATGCCGCCCTTCTCTGGAGATTCAGGGCAGCTTACAGTGCATTAAGTAATAGCCTTCATCCTTTTGTATATTTTTACAAAGTCAGCTTATTGCCCCCCACAAACTGGGTCCTCAATTTACCTACCTTAGAAAGGATGGAAGGCTGAGTCAACCTTGAGCCTTGGCGAGATTCGATCTTACTTTAATTGCAGACAGCTGGTCTTAATAACCAGCTTAATAACAGGGTGCCTTAAACCCCTGTACTACCAAGGCTCTTCATGGTCCTCAGCTGCTGGTCAGATGCCCGATCTGTGCCCGGCTACAGGATACCCTCCCCTTCCATCAGCCAGACTTCCTGGAAAGGGTGAGACGGTGCTGGCTCCTCGCAATTGATTGCCAACCGAAAGGGATCTTGGAAGTCTTCTCGTCCAACCCCCTGCTAAAACAGGAGACCCTGGACCATCCCATATAAATGGATGTCCAGTCTTTTCTTTAAAAACCTCCAGTGATGGAAAGCTCAGAACATCCGAAGGGAAGCCCTTCCACTGATTGATTGTTCTCACTGTCAGGAAATTTGTTCTAGGTTGCTTCTCTCCTTGGATACTTTCCATCCGTTGCTTCTTGTCCTGCCTTCTGGTGCTTTGGAGAATAATTTGACCCCCTTCCTCCTCTCTGGGGCAGCCCCTCAAATATTGGAAGACTGCTGTCCTGTCCCCCCTAGTCCTTCTCTTCACTAGGCTAGCCAGGCCCAGTTCAGGGGTGGGTTCTACTTACCTTTACTACCGGTTCGCAACGGGATCACAGCGATGACGACATCCGGAGTGGTGGGCGGGGCCTCCCACCAGTTTTACTACCAGTTCTTGCGAACCGGTCTGAACCGGGGCCAACCCACCACTGATCCAGTTCCTGCAACTGTCCTTTCTATGTTTTAATCTCCAGGCCTTTAATCAGTGGTGGGATTCAGCCGGTTCTGTCTAGTTCAGGTGAACCGGTAGTGCCGACTGTGGTAGGCCCCGCCCACCCACCTGGACGTAATGCCGCCCTGTTTAGCCACATTTTGGAGGCAGTGCACATGCATGGGAGGCACATGTGCAAGCAAAGAGCATGGACGGAAGGCCGAGCACGCGTGGAATGTGGCGCTCACATTGGCAAACCGGTAGGGAAGGTAAGTGAATCCCACGTCTGCCTTTAATCCTCTTAGTTGCTCTTCTCTGCACTTTCTCCAAAGTTACAACAGCTGTTTTGTAATGTGGTGACCAAAACTGGATGCAGGATTCCAGGTGTGGCCTTACTAAGGCTTTACAAAGTGGTACTAACACTTCACGTGATCTTGATTCTATGGCTCTGTTTATGCAGTTTAGGATTGTATTGGCTTTTTTGGCTGCTGCCACACACGGCTGGCTCATATTCAAGGGATCTTCCGCAAGGACTCCAAGGTCCCTCTCACGGTTACTGTTTCTGAGCCAGGTCTCGCCTAATCTCTAATTGTACCTTTGGTTTTTCCTGCCCAGGTGTAAAGCCTCGCTTTTCCCCACATTGAATTTCATGTTGTTGGATAGGGCCCACTGATCAAGTCTCCCTCTCTCTCTCTCTCTCTCTCTCTCTGTGTGTGTGTGTGTGTGAAGCTCTACCTGCAATGAATGCAAAACTCTAAAAACAGGCAGAACTCTGATTGTGTTGTTGCTGCATTTGCTTCCTTGTGTTTTTTGGACCGTGCTCAACAGATTCCCTGATAGATCCCTGTCTGGGATCCTTTGATTTGGGCTCCTATGCTGAGCACAAGGCTGCAAACAGACTCTCCTGGTTTGGTTCACATTCATGGTATTTTCTGAATCCACTTTGAACTAAATAATAGTCGCAGCCTCGTTTCCCAACTCCCAGGATTCCAGCTTCTCCTCCCCACAGCTTCCCTCTCTGGTCTCTAAGCAACAGCCCACCCTCTTCTCTTCCCCCAGCCTGGAGCTGCTCCTCCACGGGCCTAACTTGGCAATAGGGGTGTGTGTGGATGGATGGATGGCCCAGAAGCTCCTGGCATGCTTTCCCCAAGGTTGGAGGCTCCTCTGGCATTGGGCTAACTCTCCCTTCTTTGCCAAATTGTGAGGCTCTTCCTGGGACACAGTGTGCTTTCTCTGGCAGAGGGAGGAGAGGGCTTCTCCTGGCAGGGAAACCCAGCCTGCCATCCTTCCTTTCCCAGCTGACTCAGAGCTGAGCCTCTGGATTGTCTCCAGATCTGTGTTTTTCCTGGGCGGGTCCCTCCGCTCTGGGTCTGGTTTCACCTGCATTCCTACCATGGGAAGAACAAGGAAGTGGGGGGGGGGGAAGGGCGGGGGGGGGGGGGGGGAAGGAGCTTCAGAAGAGCCTGGCAGGACGACGGCAGTGCCAGGACTGGGGTGGGGTGGTCTAAACTGGCAGAGGCTGCTCCCCTGTTCCAGGTACAGCAGGAAGTCCTTGAGTCCTTCTAGGATGTTGGCCAGGAAGAAAACCAGCCACAGTTGGGCTTCTTACTCTGGCGCAGAGGAAGCCACTGTCAGAAGTAAGAAGCGGCCCTGAATCACCGGCCTCAAATATGCAGAGAAGACGGGACGACATTCCACCCTCTCCCTTAGCTGAGAAAGCCGCTACGAAGCCATCTACCTGCCTGCCAAGGAGGTGATAAATGGGGGAGGGGGGTTTAAAGCAGGAGGGATGCATTTCCAAAGGATTGGCGGGGTCAGACCAAGGTTCCCTCCCCAGAAGATTGTCCCACCTGGATCACTTTCTGGGTCCTTCGCACAGCAACTGGGGGATGTCAGCCTGTCTCCAGAAGAGGAGGAAAGCTCAGCAAAGATCCCTGGAAGCTTCCAGAAAGAGCAGAGCCACAGCGTGGTCTTCCTCAACCGCTGCATGTCAAGTGGAACCTGCAGCCAGGACACCTGGACAGGAGGGACCTGGGAGCTACCAGACTTGATTCTCTGAGTGGGACTGGGAGAAGACACCGAGGTTACTAAGAAATGCAGGTAGAGGAGCAAAGGTGATGAACACGACTCATCCCATGTCAGGTGCGAAGAATCAGGGCCCCAGGTTAAGTTCCAGTGAAGTTGATTTATTGCTCACGACGCGAATCTGGTCATCTAACGGTCAGCACTAAATTGGCGCTCTGTAAGGATCAACAGAATTCAAGAAAGATTTGACTTGGACCATTTATGGAGTCCAGGCTGGTTCCTCTCTTGACTCCCCACCTGTTTCAGTCTGTCCTTTCCCAACATCCGAAGAACAGCTAACCAAATCCAGCCACTGAGATGGGGAAGGATCCCATGAAGATGTCTCAGCTTGTAAAGAGGCGGCTGAGGACTCAGCTGCTTGGGGCAAGTCAACCTCCCACTGTCCTTCTGTAGCTTCTTCTGCGTAGACAGCAAAGTTCCTGAGCGTACCAGGAGGTGCTACTTCACGGTCCTTACATCATGCCAGAGCAGTTCTGCCTTTTGACGCCAGGGCTTGTTCGTATTTCTGCAAGCAAAGGACAAGACTTCCCTGATGGCCCTTTGGAAGTCATGGGAAGGTTCAGAAGCTTCAGTGTTCTTCTCAAATGGGGAAGCTTCTTCATGCAGGGGCTGAGATGTTGTCATCAAATTCTCCGGAATTTTTTGGGGAAGGAGGTTCCAGGAGATCCATTTTCTTCCCTCTTGGCAAAAAAACCGATAGCGGACAGGGTGGGGGGCCTGATGAGCAAACAGCAACTCTGTCCTGCTTGAATTAAACCCATTTCTTTCCATCAAGACCCCAACGGCCTTCAAACCCTACTCCAGACGTTGCCAGTACTGCCCTGGGTGTGATGCACTGTTGGGTGTCCTCAGCATCTGTTGATGATTTGGCCCTCCGAACCAAAGACTGACCTCTTCCAGGTTTTCCATGACATGTTAAAATGAATGGGGGAGAGAACCAAAATCGGGGGGGCTTCTAAAGGAGACCCCATTGGGCCAATCTCTCCTCACCCACAACCAGTGATGAAATCCAAATTTTTTTACTACCGGTTCTATGGGCGTGGCTTGGTTGGCATGGGCGTGGCTTGGTGGGCATGGGCATGGCTTGGTGGGCGTGGCTTGGATGGCATGGCAGGAGAAGGATACTGCAAAATCTCCATTCCCACCCCACTCGGGGGCCACCCAGAGGTGACGTTTGCCGGTACTCCGAACTACTCAAAATTTCCACTACTGGTTCTCCAGAACCTGTCAGAACCTGCTGGATTTCACCCCTGCCCACAACCATCAAACGGAAACATCCACAGAAGAGGGAGGGGAACCGCTGTCGCGCAGGGCCCCCAATCCAACAGTGTCCAGAAGGACGCCGTGACCAACAGTACAAAGGCCACCAAGAGGACTTTGACCACAAAGTGTCCAGGAGGACTCCAAGAGCAACATGAGCAACAGTACAAAGGTCACCAAGAGGACGGATCTGCTGCCCCCACCATCAACCGGTGGGAACCACTGTGGTTTCTCTCCTGTATCAAGGCTGACTGACAGGGGTCCAAATAATCTCTGGTCCAGTACGGCCGAATCGGAGAGAGCCGATGGCACCGAGGCAAGAAAGTCTTTTGTATAAGTAAGTCTGCTGAAATGATGGTGAACTTTTTGGGCTCGATGTATCAAATGCCTAACTTGACACACCTATGCCTGTGTACACAGACACACAAGGAAACAATTTTTTACATACAGGTAGTATTTTATTTTCACACTTATGACCGTTGCAGCATCCCCATGGTCACATGATCAAAACTGGCAACTGACTCGTATCTATGACAGTTGCTGTGTCCCAGGGGGGGTCATGTGATCCCCTTTGGCGACCCTCTGGCGAGCAAAGTCAAGGGGGAAGCCAGACTCACTTAACAACGGTGTTACTAACTGAACAAGTGCAATGATTCCCTTAAAAACCATGGCAAGAAAGCTTGCAACATGGGGAAAATTTCACTTAACAAATGTCTCGCTTAGCAGCAGAAATTTTGGGCTCAGTTGCGGTCGTAAGCCGAGGGCTACCTGTATTTGTTTATTTTTTTAAAAAAAACATGCAGGCCTATTGTGTATGTGAGCCTCGGGATCCGCTGTGTGCCACTTCCCTTCAGGCGCTGTTATTTATGGGAAAGATCCCTGCAGCCCATACAAGCCCACCCTGGGTAGATCGGGGCCTACCCCCCTGGAGCGGCTTCTGAAACAGCTTTTCTATGGCAGCTGCAAGGCCTTAAAACTGCATAAGAGGCTAGAGATGATCACGTTTCGCTTGCCGATCAAAGGTGAGCCACTCCAGAGCCCACGGAGAGCATGGCATGCGCTCTCTCTCTCTCCAGTGACTTCGGGTGGGCCGGAGGCCATGCAAGAGCACTCCGCCTTCTCCAGCGGCCTCCGCGGCCTCCGAAAAAGCACACGAGAACAGGGCACGCTTTCAAGGACAGTTGTGGGTGTCATGAATGTTAGTGTGTCACCCAAAATGTTGTGGCGTGTTACCTGGGACACACGTATGCCAGAATTCGCTTTCTCTAGTCTAGTGCATCAGCCGTGTCCCTTCCTGAGATGGGACAACTAGCCGTGGCCGTCCCACCGTGGCCAACCCAGTGTGGCAATCTCACCGTGGCCATCTCGACATGGCCAGCTCCCCACAGGACAACTTGCTGTGGGACAATTCCACGTGGAATAACTCAACACAATAAATGCTCGAGAAATAGAAATAATATAGAAGAAACGGGGGTGGAAAACATTTATCGCATTGAGTTATCCCAAATGGATTTTATTTATTTTATTTTATTTATTTATTTTGTCGAGTACGTATTAGATAATATGTGTAAGCATAAGCATGAATTGAATACGTAAAATGAATACAATTAAAGGGAAAATTAGGACAGGGACGGAAGGCACCCTGGTGCGCTTATGCACGCTCCCTTTATGGACCTCTTAGGAATGGGGTGAGGTCAACGGTAGCCAGTCTAAGGTTAAAGTTTTGGGGGGGGGGTTGGGATGACTAAAGGCCAGTCAAGTGAAGCAGTGGGAGTGGAGAAAGAACAAAGAAACCCATAACTGCCTCCTGAGCTGGCCAGATTTGGTGACCCTTCTCCAGCCCTTAAAGTCAGCTGCTCTTGTTTCTGCCTCCTGAAACTTATTTGGAGTTTTGCAACGAGCAGCTGTTTGCAGGGCAGTCTGAGGGTGCCGGCACCTGCTTGTTCCGGGTGTGCCGTGTTGGTGGCCGGTGCCTGTCCAGCTGAACCTGAACAAGGTTTGAAAGCCCTGCATGGCTCAGAGCCAGCTATTCAAGGGGCGCTCGCCCTTCCCCCAATCTGGATGCTCTCCGGAGTTGCAGACGAGACCTGGAATTTCTGCTGCAGAGGCTGAAGCAGGCTGGGCTGCCTTCTTGCCAGAATAGTTAGAAATCACCAAGTTGCTCCCAGCTTCACTTCTAAACAAATCGTTGTCGTTTTTGTGGGCTGTTTAAGGCACGGTATGCCCAATGCCCAGATTGGGCCAGACTGCATGATTTCTCAGCCTCTGGAGCACACAACAAAAGAGCAGCTGCAGAGAGCGGGTGTGAATGAGCTGGGGTCAGACCCCAAATATGCTCCTCACAGTGTCAAAATATGGGTGGGGGCACCTACACATCCCTCTTGATTCTTCTGCTCCTGCAGCTCCTGCCTGCTTTGTGAAGATGCTCCTGGCTCTTCCCGGCTGGGACTTTGAAGAACTCTCCAGGACAGCCGTCACCAACTGGTGGTCCGTGGATCACTGGTGGTCCATGAGAAAATGTTGGTGGTCCACAGAAAAATTATTTGCATTTTTTATATTGCACTAAATCAGGGGTCCTCAAACTACGGCCCCTGGGTCCATGTGTGCAATGGACATTTGTGTTGCTGCAGAGAGTCTCCCCCTTCAGGGTCTTTTTGTGTGGGTCAGAGGAACGGGAACAGAAATTCCGACTTGGGGTCTGCTTCGGCCTCCTGGTGGGGGGCTTTGGGCAAAGGTTGGAGGGAAGCGCTGCTGGTGTCGAAGAGTCGGAGGGCATCGTGGTCTGGAACTGGCTGACCATCTCAGCCCGCTGAGCCTCCAGGCACCAGTTACCTGGCCTTGCACTCCCACAGGTCTTTCCTCTGCTTCGAAAGCCTATGCTCCTAGTCCTCAGTGAGGTGCTTCTGCTGAGCTTCCTTCTCGGTCAGATCCAATTTGAGCTGAGCAGCTGTTTTGCCAACTCTTTCTCATGGTGGCTGCTTAGCTCCAACAACTGCTTCCTGTTGGGGCCCTAAGGAGCCCAGGCGGGGAGGCGAGGAGTGGCTGGGAGGGGAGGGGTGTGTAGAGACTGGCGGGGTGCCTCTTGACGTGAGTGACATCGAGTTGGCCATGCCCACCCAGTCATATGACCACCTAGCCACACCCACCCAGCCAGTCATTAGGCAGATCATATTAGTGGTCTGCCGGATTTAAAATTATGAATTTAGTGGTCCCTGAGGTTCAAAGTGACCCCTGCTCCACGGCTTCTCTTGAAACAGTGGGTTCAAGACCCCCACCAGCAGCAAAGCCCCCCTGGAGCAGGGCCAACAGATCCTCCCCAGGACTTTTGCAGGCTTCCTCTGATTTCTGTGATGCCCCCTCCCACCAAGGACTTCCCAGCTCACTCTTTGCTCTTCTCTCCTTGCAGGGAAAGCCGGGTCCTGCCCAAATGTGGACTTGCCCATCCCACCTCTGGGTCTTTGCAGAAGCACGTGTAAAACGGATTCAAGCTGTCCAAACGACGAGAAGTGCTGCAAAAATGGCTGCGGGCATATGACTTGCTCACAGCCCAGGCCCTGAGGTGAGCATCTTTGGTTCATGGGACACGCATGGAAAGGGGATGTCTTGGGGTGCAAAGGACCCCCTTGCCAGAGAGCAGAGAGGGCCCCTCCCTGGGAGTCTATGCCCTGGTCCAGCAGAAGCCCCCCCCCCCCAGACAAGGTGCTCTGGAGGGACACCAACCCAGAGCCTGGACCCACCAGCAAAGTGCGGGATGGGGTGCAGAGAGAAGCAAAGCCCCTCAAGGGGAAAGAGGTCCAGGAAAGGAGAGAGCCGATGTGGAGAAAAGAAGGATTAGGAGTGACAGGATAGAAGTCTTCTCGTATTTGAGAGGCTGCCACAAAGAGGAGGGGGTCGACTTATTCTCCAAAGCCTCTGAAGGCAGGACAAGAAAAAAGAGTCTCAGAATTAATAGGGTTGGAAGGGACCTTGGAGGTCTGCTAGTCCAGCCCCCTTCTGGAGCAGGAGACCCTATACCATTACAGGACTATCCAGTCTCTTCTTAAAAACTCCCAGTGATGGAGCGCCCAAGACTTCTGGAGGTAAGTTCTTCCACTGATTAATTGTTCTCACTGTTAGGAAGTTTCTCCTTAGTCCCAGGTTGCTTCTTTCTTTGATTAGTTTCCATCCGTTGTTTCTTGTCCTGCCTTCAGGGGCTTTGGAAAATAAATTGACCCCCCTCATCTCTGTGGCAGACCCTCAAATACTGGAAGGCTGCTATCTTGTCTCCCCTAACCCTTCTTCTCTCTAGATTGGCCACACCCAGTTCCTGCAACCGTTCTTCATGTGTTTTAGCCTCCAGTCCTCTCATCATCTTTGTTGCTCTCCTCTGCCCTTTTTCCAGAGTCTCAACATCTTTTTTTATAATATGGTGGTGACCAAAACTGGATGCGATATTCCAGGTGTGGCTTTACCAAGGCCTTATTTATTTATTTTTTTGAATTTTTTTTTGAATTTTTAAACAAAACATAAAACATAAATCTATCATCCATTACAATTGCAAACAGTGTGTCGGTCGGTTACAAATCTTTTGTGCATCATCCCCGTATTCATAATTTACTAAGTATCTCATTTCTCATATTATCAAATTAATAAGTTTCCTCATTTGTCATTTATTTAACTATGGCTTTATCGTTTCATAAAAATTATTTTCAAATATTATATTATAACATTCATTTCATATTTCATATTTCATTTCCATGTTTTATTATCTAGCCATTGATAAAATAAATCCCATATCTTATAATATTGTTTGTCTTCTTGTTCTCTAATTTCAAATGTCAATTTACTCATTTCAGCACATTCCATGATTTTTTTTAATAACTTTGTCTTTTGTTGGTATTTCCTCATTTTTCCAATCAATAACCCTAACCCTAACCCTAACCCTAAAGGCCTTATTTCTCCTTTGTTCTGCAGATACAGCTCAGGCTGGGGAACCCGATGCATTCACAGGACTGGACTCTAAAGAAAGGATCGTGACACCCTTGGCCTCCTTCCTGCCCAAGCCTAGCCAACCCTCTATGCTGGAGACCCTCCACCCCTCCCCTCTTTTTCAGTAAAGCTCTCGTTTCACACAGCAGCCTCTGGATCTTCTGGTTTTATGCCAATTGCTTGGCCAACCTTCCCTTTGGCAGCAGGGCCCCCTTCTCTACTTAGCTCTGGCCAGGGAGGGAGGGAGGGGGGAAAAAGTGGGATCCTTCCCTGATATTAAGCAACCAGAGCCACTCATGGATAGTTGATAGTCAGCAACTCTATTGACTTCTGCCTAAGTTACAAGAATCTCCTCGGACTGCCTGCCTGCCATTGGAACTCAGGGAGGCTCAAATGATGCCTCTTGTGGCTGCACAAGGACTCCAAGCTAGATCCCCACTTGACCCCTCCTTCCAGCCTGGCTAGCAGTTCCTCAACACTGGCCATCTCTTCCACCCACCACTTCTCTTTTGAAACTGAAGGTTGTGGTCCAAAACATCTCCAATTTAAGAGGAAAAGGTCAATCCAGCTGTTTGATGGATCCCTCTGGTTGATTCAGAGAGCCTCCAGGTGTGATGGAAGCAAAGGTGGCAGGTGATAAGGAAGGGCAAGTAGAGGTTACGGATGCCCTGCCATGCCCTGATAGCAGAACTGCCTCTCTAAATCTCTTCATCCTTAGGTAGTGGGGATCTGCCCACCTAGCAGTTTGAAAGCATGCAAACGTGAGTAGATAAATAGGTACCCCTTGGGTGCGAAGGGAACAGCGTTCCATGTGCCTTTGGCATAAAGTCATGCTGGCCATATGATCACGGAAGTGTCTTTGGGCAACGCTGGCTTCTTGGCCAAGAAACAGAGATGAGCATCATCCCCAGAGTTGGACACGACTGGACAGGGAAACCTTTCCCTTTATGTTTTTTCTCTAGTCTTGTACGTCACCCAGACTTGGAAGTCCAATACTTTAAACAACTGCATCAAAATCCAGCCAAGAATGGTTGGAGGGCACTAGAAGATGCTGTTTCTAGTGGACATCCTGCTAAAATTTTCTTTTACGACTACAAAAAAAAACCTCTGAGTGTTCTCTTTTCATGCACCACCAGGGGGCAGCACATGACCGGTTTTCTCTCTCCTTGAGACTCATCTGACATAGGCAGCCAAATGTTAGATTTAAATCCTTGCCTGGGAACTCCACGCGTGGGCACTCACACTTTTTTTAAAAATATATAATTTTATTAAACTTATCAAAGTATAAAATACACATGGAAATGGAAATGTGCAGGTCCCTTTGTTTTAGGGAGCTTCCCGTAAAGACCGGCTTGGTGGCTCTGATCCAGTGGGGGCTGAGCTGGTGGGAGCTGGTGTGCAAATGGGCGTGAAGTGGAATTCCCTGCCAGCCGAGTGTGCAAGAAACCCCAAAGGAGAAGGACGTCCACTGTGGCTGGGTGAAGAAGAGAAAGGGGGGATGGCCGGGCGGTGGGAGACAGAGGGAAGAGCGTGGGAATCTGCTTTGCGGAGACCCTCGGCTGCTCTATTCCAGGAGGGGGCGCTGCAGTCGTTAGTTGGACTCTGGGAAAGGGTTGAAGGTTCCCCAGTGACTGAGTTCTTCTCGTCCCTGCACTTCTAAGTGGAAACTGATGAATGGAGAGAGGAAGTGGATGCTTTTCTCTCTGCTAAGAGATTCATCACTCCGTGTTGAGGTAATGAAATTATTGGTGACTTATGAACAGGAGCCTGCAAAGATTTTGCATGGACAGCTATAACAACATATGTTTAAACTGGACAAATATCTACATGCATAAGAAGCCCTCATACACCTAATATTTTTCCTGCCATTCTGTTTTCTTTTCCTGATTTTTTTCCTGCTGCTTCTCTCTTTTCTTGTTCATTAAACAAAGGCAGAAAACTTTCTCTGAGTTGGCCCTCATTGTCTCCAGCCAGACCATCCTTGGGGAGCCATGGCAAGACAGCAGAGTCTCCATTTCTATCCCAGACTTACTCTGGAGTAAACCCTTTGTGGGGACTGAGTTTCAGGGATTTCTGCTCCCCTTGACACGCTCTTTCTGGAAAGCCACATTGGGGAAGGATGTGCTGCCCCTCAGCCCCTCTTCCTCTGTCATGGGTGGGGGGGACACAGATCAAAGTGGGGAGGGGAAACCCCCAAAGAGGCAGAAGGAGAGACCTGAGACCAAGAGGGCAGCTAGAGCCAATGCTTTATTGCAGAAGAGAAGGAATGAGCCCAGGGTGGGATTGGGGGAGGGTCTCCAGGTGGTCCAGGACAGAAGAAGGGTCTTGGGGTCAACTTGGTGTACTGGGCACAATTCGGAAAAGCGAAGCTCCAATGCCGAGAAGCCCAGTCTCCACTCGGAGGGTCCTGTGAAAAGAAAGAGAGCCAGGCGTGTGGTTTTAGTCCACGGCTGTCTTCTGCACGGCCCAAGGACTGATTGGACCTCTAGACCAGCCCTGGACCTTCTCTCTCAACAAGGGAGATTTCCAAAGGTGGCTCCTTGGAGCACATGCAATGGTGCAATAATCCAATGAGGACCATCACTAATTGGGATAGAGACCCTCCCTGGGACTCAGAAATTAGAGTCTCAGGCTGGCTCAACTAATCAACCCTGGGTTTCCGTATCTGCAGGGCTCCCTCTCCCTGACAGTATCTGCCCATGATCCCACCAGGGCACGCTCCGGGCCCCTTCCTTTAAAGGTTGCCACTTTGCAGGTCCTCAGAAGCATGCCTTTTCCATCGCAGACCCTACTCTATGGGGCACACTCCCACCTCGACCCCACCCCCGAGATCCAACAGCCGCCCCCCCTCCACACACACAGTTTTTAACATTCCGGGTGTTAAGAGCCCTTAACATCTCACTCTTCCCCAAAGCATTGGGGGGGGGCCTCAGAGAGAATGTGGGGGTGACATCAGAGAAGTGGGATGGTGGCACCAAGTTCTTCTGGCATCTCTGCCTGTCTGCCTGTCTATCAACTACTTTATCTATCTATCTATCTATCTATCTATCTATCTATCTATCTATCTATCTATATCTATCTATCATCTATCATCTATCTATCATCTATCTACCTATCTATCATCTATCTACTGTATCTATCATCTATCTATCTATCTATCTATCTACTGTATCTATCTACCTATCTAT